TGAAAGGCTTCGGCGATAAGGATATCATGTGAGAAATGTTGTTTCTTTTTCACTTTTGAAGATTTTTCATCAAGCAACTCTCAAATTTACATTACAATTAACAAACTGAAGCGAGTAAAGACGACAACTTCAAGATTAACGTTTAACACCCGCTTCGTTTTTAGCCCTTCTCTTCTGCAACATACTCTCCCAACTTTGCCGCCGCTTTGTTCTTGCTCCACCGCAGCTATCACAGGTTTTCGACTTTCATTCTCTCAATTTAGACACATTTTCGTACATACCCTATTGCCTTTTGGTGTTTCTTTCTCATATGCATACACCCAATTCGCATTTTGGGTTTTCTACTGTGTTTTATGTCTTGCTGAAATTATTTATGTTTAGGGTTCTTATCTCTGCGCTTACGCTGTTATCTGAGCTTTAAGTTATCGAATTTGCTGTTTTTCAATTCAATTTGCATTACAATCAATCGTGCTGCATTTTACCCTGGTCGTATTAATCTAGTTTGTACAACCATAGATTCAATTTTCACTGATTTCGCAAGTAAACCATCTTTTTGTTGCTTAAAAACCAGGTATTTGTACGCAAGGAACCCTATAATGACAACATGTATTCCACCATCATTAATCCCTTTAGAAGCTCGAAACTCAATGGGGTGGGTGGTACTAACTGTTTTGGAGGGAGAGCAAGTTCCTTGAAGATGATTGATGACAAACATGCGTTTCCAAATACTTCCCACAAGATCGCTCATGTCCCCCAAATTCGATGTTTGGCAAACTCTCACAATATCAATCAGTTCAACAACAAAGATCAGTTTCTGAATCTGCATCCAGAGGTTTCCATGCTTAGAGGCGAGGGAAACAACACAGTGATTAAGGATAGCAGTTTGGGTGGAAACGTTACTGAGATTTTGAGAGATTCAACAAGTCCAGGTAATTACAATGAGGCTAAGATTAAAGTAATTGGTGTTGGTGGTGGTGGATCAAATGCAGTTAATCGTATGATTGAAAGTGAAATGAAGGGTGTTGAGTTTTGGATTGTGAATACTGATGTTCAAGCCATGAGAATGTCACCTGTTTTCCCTGAGCAACGGTTGCAGATTGGTGAAGAGTTGACTCGTGGACTTGGTGCTGGTGGTAATCCTGATGTTGGTATGAATGCTGCTAAAGAAAGTAGAGAATCCATTGAAGAAGCTGTTTATGGTTCAGATATGGTTTTCGTGACTGTAAGTTTTTTACTTCTGTTATATTTGTAGATTTTATTTCAGATGCTACTTGCTAAAAGCTGTGATATAATAATGATTAACAATACCCTTTGATGCTTGAATGATGCAACAACTTAAATGAAACCATGTAATGTATATGTACACGTTATACAAGCATGATAAATTTGGAATCTTAACATCTATATGAGATTCACATCCATCTAACTTTGATCCATATTTTCATCTTAGCATATTAGATAGTTTTGGTTCTTAAGATGTACCCCATAAAACAATTGTGTATGAACTATGATTACAACTATGTATCGATTCTAAAGCTACAATTTTTCTAAGGAAAAGGGAGTAATTATCTTAGGTTAAAACAAATCGGATCATAATAGAAACCAATTCAATTTATTTTGACCTGAAAGAGATGTGCTTATTGTTTGTTTTCCCTAACATTTAGCTGATGCGAGGTTGAATTTTGATTATGTGCATGCATGCAGGCTGGGATGGGTGGAGGAACAGGTACTGGTGGGGCCCCTGTGATCGCTGGTGTGGCAAAGTCAATGGGAATTTTGACCGTTGGTATTGTGACAACACCCTTCTCTTTTGAGGGCCGAAGAAGAGCTGTTCAAGCACAAGAAGGAATTGCATCGTTAAGGGAAAATGTCGACACTTTAATTGTCATTCCAAATGACAAATTATTAACTGCAGTTTCCCCTTCTACCCCTGTAACCGAAGCTTTTAATCTCGCTGATGATATTCTTAGACAAGGTGTTCGTGGTATCTCAGACATAATCACGGTATTAAAATTTAAAATAAATAAATAAAATGAGATTTCATGTCATGGGTATTTAAGTAATTTCAACTCCAGTCGTTCATTGATTTGATGGTTTGAAATTTGCAGATTCCAGGACTGGTAAATGTTGATTTTGCTGATGTAAGAGCTATCATGGCAAACGCAGGCTCCTCATTAATGGGGATAGGAACTGCAACCGGTTAGTATGAAACGAAAATCAAAATCAAAATCTACTTGGTTGTATTTTTACGATTTGACCTTATCCTTATGGTCCATTCATCTTTATTTCTAAAAATAAAACAGGGAAGACTAGGGCTAGAGATGCTGCATTGAATGCCATTCAATCACCTTTGCTAGATATTGGTATTGAGAGGGCTACTGGAATTGTCTGGAATATAACTGGTGGTAGTGATTTGACATTGTTTGAGGTCTCTCTCTCTCTCTCTCTCTCTCTCTCTCTCTCTCTATATATATATATATATATATATATATATATATATATATATACTTGTATTCTGTATTTTATTTATGTATGTGTGTTGTCATTGTTACATTTATATATGCCTTTTGTCCTTTGGATATTTAAATTATTTTGTTTCCTTTTGTCTGTGTTTGTTACACTAGACAAATTTTCTAGGGTTATTTCCAATGCTGAGGATAGGGAGGGCATTTATGTCTTTTGTACAAATAAGAGATCGAGTGGGTCCCGCCTGTCCCACTTTTTGGGTGGGCTAGTAAATTGACATCAGTCTCAGCCCATGTAAATGTTTGTATCTATTTTCATATTGATTTCCATCTTAGACACATGTAAGACTTTTTTGACTATTAATGAGAAAAATGTAAAGTATCCCTAAATAATGAAAAAATTAGAGGAAATTCTTGTATCATAATATTTTGTAATGATTATTAATAGTAGACATAAATTTCGGATGATACTTTTTAGGTAAATGCTGCAGCCGAGGTGATATATGATCTTGTTGATCCGAGTGCTAATTTGATATTTGGAGCAGTTTATTGATCCATCGATAAGTGGTCAAGTAAAGTTTATTTTCTTTTAGAAAAACATTTTTACTTTTACTTTAATGGAAAACAAAAGAATTATAAAATGCAAATTTATATATTTTTATTATTGATTGGCTCAGGTTAGCATAACCCTTATAGCAACCGGATTCAAGCGGCAAGAAGAAAGTGACGGAAGGACTCTACAGGTATCTCACTTCAACTACCAAATAAATGTTAAGATCAAATTTACCATTTTACCCCTAGGGGTAGTTTCGGGATTTTACAAACAGTAGAAATGATTGAATGCAGCAGCAGGGGGGTCAGGCAGATGTGGCTGGAATGAACCGAAGATCACCAGCCTTCACGGAAGGCGGCTCAGTAGAAATCCCCGAGTTTCTAAGGAAGAAAGGACGGTCACGCTACCCACGAGCTTGAACTTGTGAATTTACCTTTTTGCCCATGTGATATAATACTACTGAAATATGGTTGTGTAGGTAGAGAAAATTGTTGCCACTGGTAGCAAAAACAAAAAAAAATGGTTTAAGAGAGCATTATTATGCAACATGTCTTTATCCAATAAAAAGTTGTAGGAAGTGAATGACAACTATTTTTTATATTATTGTTTGTGGCTAGCAAGAGGTTAGAGATTTTTAGTTGAACATTGTGGAAAGATTTATTATATATACATGTTTGATTGTTTTGTTAGTATTAATACAAATATCATGTATTTATCATAAAAGTTCGAATTTAAGTTAGATTTTGATATATTTTTATTGCATTGATGGCTAGAGAAAGTTGTGGTTCATAACAGGGTGACAAGATTTTTTTTATAAAAATTTGGGGCAAGAATATTGACAAGTAGGGTTAGTTGAAGTGACCATCACATAATATCTCCCACTTGTCTAGTCACATTCATATTTGATTTAAAGTCTATGATTATAGACCTTGTAAATGTAACTACAAATATCAAATATTATGGCCATTCATATTTTGTTTTAATAAAAAATCTATCTTGCAATTTAATATTTTTATTTCATTGTTTGAATTTTGTCAAAATAAACCAAGATTCTTGTTGAATTACCCATTTTGGTTTAGTTAATGGTTAATGTCAGAAAATAAGTAACGAGCTTTTTTGTTTTTTGTTTTTTTATAAAATGTATCATTATTATTTTTTTTTTAAATATAATAAAAAGTTAAGAAACTGGAATTTTGGTTCATGAAATACCTTTTTTTGTTTCTAATAGTACTTACATTATAATTATAATTTTCTTTTTCAAAACAATAGTATTTTGTAGGCCTTTAAACAAAGCGAACGAACATACTAACAAATGTTTGTTTATGTTTGTTCGTTTAAGTTAGCCGAACAAACAAATGAATACGAACGGATTAATTAACGAGTTTTTTTGTTCATTTTCGTTTGTTTATGTCTATGAACATACTAAACGAACAGAGATAAACAAATATAATTAAACATATATGAACATAAACTAACATATAATATAATAATGTAATAAAAAATAATTGAATTTATATGAACATATATAAACTTAAACGAACAACACCATTGTTTGAGACCATTGTTCAAGTTCATTCATATAACTAAACGAACGAGAATTTATCTTCATGTTCATTCATTTATTAAAATACACGAACATAAACGAACTTCCCACTGAACGCTTGGTTCTTTTACAGTTCTAGTATTATGGAGTATTTTGTAACAAAAAAATGTTTGTTACATATTTATGACATTAACCATTTAGTTGAAGTTTTAGTGACGGATATTTATGTTTGAATTTACTATGCAAGTAGCATGCCGGTACCAGGGATAAGAATATGAATATCTAACAAGTTGTGACAAAGTCTTTTAGTTGATTCATTTTAGTCCTTCGTATCTTGTAAAGAACCAAAACAGAGTTATTGTACTAATAGAATCTATTTTATTGAATATGTTATATAACTTAATTTATGTAAAATGATGTGTTTGTTATAGATGATTATTAAATCAAGAAACAACTACCCAACAATTGATCATTCATTGTATGTTGATGTAGATCCGTCATAGAAGGATACCCAATAACTGATCGTTTCTTGATGGTGTAATTCCAATAATACCCTTTACCCCTTAGATCATTCTCATTTGTTTCCATCGGCTAAAAATAAAAATCATAAGATTCTTTAACTTTTTCTCAGTATCAACATTGACCTCACAATACTCGTACACGCATCCCAACAAGGCCATGGAATCTTTCCCAAAGGATTTTACTGTTATTAATGGTATTTACGATCGAGTTGCATATACACTCTTTCGAGTGGTCTTTCACGTGTAATTTGGATTTTGATTGCTTCTGGTTTCCTTGGTTCTTGTATCAAATTTTCGATCTGTTTGGTGTTGGAAAATTTAGTATAAATATTTATATTTTTACTAATTTTGGACATATATAAATATATACATATGTTGTATATATAACTAACTCTAAATGAGTTTGTGTTCTCCTCCACGAGGACTTCGAAACGATATATTATATGTCAAAAATGAAGTATATGTGAATGAGATATCGATACTCAAAGAAGGGTATTTGAGAATAAGTTTAGCAAAAAGGGATGAATGTGGGAATGAGTCCCACATTGGTAGAAAGACCAAACTCAACAAGGTTTATAAAATATAATCTTTCAATCGTTCAAAACAAAAATATATAAGAATGTATACATAAATAATAAGAGTCATAGTCTATTACTAAACCATAAGAACGGTAATAATCTAATAAGCAACATTGCTGTCAAATACACTCCCTTAGGGCATACACAATGAGACTGCAATAAGAGTTTAATAGAGAGAGAGAGAGAGAGAGAGAGAGAGAGAGAGAGTCAAATACACTCCCTTAGGGCATACACAATGTGTAACATCCCAAAATTCAAGGCCAAAAATTTCGTTTTTAATTAGGTTATTACATAAAACCAAAGTGTCAATAATCAAAGCATTTTATCATAAAACCATATCAGAGTGTAATCCCAAAGATCTCATGTGCGGAAAACATAGTGTGATGCGCTGCGATCGAGCCGTCTCCTTTCCTTTGAAAACAAAGCACCTGAAACCAAAACTGTAAACCGTAAGCACGAAGCTTAGTGAGTTCCCCCATCATACCACATACCACATAGTATCATCGGTATCTTTCAACCGGTATCTGCCATCGGTATCTTTCAACCGGTAACCAGGGACTATTTCACCCCTACCACCATCACATAATAATATATCATAAACATATTGATCACATACTAACATCATAACATACTGATCACATACTAACATCATAACATATCGATCACATACTAACATCATAACATAATGATCACATACCAACATATCATAAACAAACAGATAAGCATTACATGGGTTCTGTATACCCCTTCGGTATCTTTCAACCGGTATCCGTCATCGGTATCTTTCAACCGGTATCCGCCATTGGTATCTTTCAACCGGTAACCGCCATCAGTATCTTTCAACCGGTAATCGGGGGCTATTTCACCCCCTACCACTATCACATAATAACATATTGGTTCCATGATAACATAACATAAACATACTAAATCACATAATGGCATATCATAACCATACTGGTCACTTAATAGCATATCATACATGGGTTCTGTCTATCCCTTCGATATCTTTCAACCGGGAACTGCTTTCGGTATCTTTCAACCGGTAATCGGGGACTATTTCACCCCCTACCACTATCACATAATAACATATCATGATCATACTGCTAGGCATGCACGGGTACTATCTACCCCCTTCGGTATCTTTCAACCGATAACTATGGGCTATATCACCCCTACCACTACTAACACATATGTCATAGCATCCTAGCACATAAAGCATATCAGTTAACAACACACCAGATAATTATCACAAAGACAATCATCTAACAAATAACTCTTATTAGTGGGTCGGCATTGTGGCCGTAGACCCACTCCTACTGGAAGGTAACTCACCTCGCACTGCTGAAGTCCCGAAGACTCAACCCCACACTGCTGACGTCCCGCAGACTCAACCCCAGCTGTTGGATGACAGATTCCCGGTCTGTCAATATCAAAACATTACCCAATTAATAATTGGGTTCCACTTCATAACCAAGTACATGCTTTGGGTAATTACTACATTACCCCTATCTTGGCTTATTTAAGCCCAAAGCCCAATCCAAAGGCCCAAAAGTCCAACTATGGCTCAAAGCCCAACATATGGCCCAATTTTCCAAATTGGGCCCAAACCTTTACATGGTCCCATTCTAAGGCCCAACATCATATAATCATTAAGGCCCAAACTATGGCCCATCTATGGCCCAATTTTCCAAATTGGGCCCAAACCCCTTACATGGGCCTTACCCTAGGCCCATTAAATATTCTAGTCCATTTGCTTGACTTTGGATGACCCATTAATAGCGCAATCATCAAGGCCCAATAGAAGGCCCAACAATACACCCATGTGAAATTAGGGTTTCACATGAAATGACGATTAGGGTTAAGTGTTTCTCACTTAACCCATTAAGGACTTAATCCATTAAGGACTTAATCTATTAAGTCCATCATTCTTCTAAATAAGTCATATGGTGTGATTGGGCTTAATCACACAATTCCATTATTCCAATGGCTCACAAGTGGGTCTCAATTAGTCCAAGCCCATAAATCCAATATTAGGGTTTTCTAAACCCTAATTAGGGTTTCCAACCCATCTTAGCCCAATAGGCCCATTAGTTAAGTCCTTGGATCCATTAGGGTCCATTAAGTCCATTAGACACATGTTTGGGCTTTTATGCCCATTAAGCCTCATTGGGCCCATCAGGGTTTCAAGGCCCATTAGGGTTTTAGTCCCTTGACCAAACATCCCCAAACTAGCAATCCCAACACAACTAAGCACACCGCCACCCGACACGGCGGCCGGTGGCGGCAGCCACCACCCTACGGTGGTGGTTTGAGTTCCATTTCATTATTCCAAATTTTACAATTTACAATGAAATACAAATAAGCACACACTACACTAACTAACACACATACACGGCGGTGCATGGCGGCAGCCACCCCTCACGGTGGTGGCTGTGGTGGCTTTTCTCACTAATTCTGATTTCACAATATAGCAACAGTGCACATACATACAAAGTAACACGCACACCCACACAACCACCACCCTACGGTGGCTTGTGGTGGCAGAAATGATTTCAAGGCATCAACCACCATGGTCGGCGGCCATGGTGGATTTTTCCTCAATCTCCGGTGAAGCAAACACCCCCACTCACGTTTTCTGGTTTGTAGATGAGTCCAGCCACCCACCTGGTGGCGTTCAACGGACGGCAGCAACCCATAATGGCAGACAACCTTGGCGCTTGCGGCGGCGGCGAGCCACAATGACAGCAACGGTGGTCGTCGTAGCTTCTTAGTGGACATTTCGAGATACCGACAACCATAAGAAGAAGAAGAAGAAGAATGTAACAGGGGAGGGGTAGCAGCGAACGGTCACAACTGCGTCGGCGGTCTTCACTGGCTTCTTACCGGCGACGACGCATACTAGGGCTGTAAACGAACCAAACGAACACGAACAAGGTCTTGTTCATGTTCGTTCGTTTAAGTTAGCTGAACAACAAACGAACACGGACGGATAAGCGAACGAGATTTTCTTGTTCATGTTCGTTCGTTTATCAAATTACTTTGTTCATGTTCGTT